TGAGGAGAATTCCTGCCTTTGCTATAAAATGATCTTTAAATGGTTAAACATTCTAGTCTTCTCGGATGAGGCCGAAAAACCGCAGGTCCCGTTCCTGCATCTTCTCTGTACTCGTACTCAGGGGATGTTAACGAACCCGTGCACTTCTCGCAAAGGGTAGGAAACGCAGCTCCCAGTATTACATATGGTTCATTATGATGCATCATTTCCTTCAAAACTGTAAACAGCTCAACACAGTCTGGCCCAAGTCCCCCGAAAAGTGTTGTGAAGCGCCATGAGCTAATGGGTATGGCACTTTAGAAACCCTTTATTATATAACGAGCAATTTTAGAACGACTTTCTTACAACCAAAATAAAAATAATCCTAACGGCAAATAAGAAGAAAGGAAAATTATTTTAAGAAGATGAGAACACAAAGGTAAAAACAAACAAACTACCAAAGCAAAGGAAAACGCGGGCGACCAAGCCGTGATCAGTTTTAGTTCTGCATCTGCACCGGTTTCTCGGAGGATGGATAATGCCATCCACTGGATAAGTCGTTGTCCGGCGAATAGCGCAGAACTTTTTTTTTTTAAACACCTATCCAATGGATAGCGATTTATCTGTAAGAAGGTGTTATCCGCTTTTTGAACAACTGAGCCCTAATTGGTTGAGAAAGTGGGTCGCAGTAAAGAAAAACCAAAACAGTCCAGGATTACCTGTGATTACTCACTTGAAAATCGTTCTATTTGATCCTTGACCTGATTTCTTGCACGAAAAATGTGTTCTTTTACTTTTTCATATGACAAATAGGGCCCAAGAGCTGTACGCAACTGCTTCAAGATGGTTATAATTCCAGTGGTGAGTACACCATTAATCCAGATGGCGGCAAACCAATTCAAGTGTTATGTGACATGGATACCGATGGTGGGGGTTGGACCGTTTTTCAGAGACGTTTAGATGGCTCCGTTGACTTCTATCTTGGATGGGAATCCTACAAAAGAGGATTTGGAAATCTGAACAGAGAGTTCTGGCTCGGAAACGACAATCTTCACCGTTTGACTGCTGCTGATGACGTCAAGCTCAGAGTTGACCTGGAAGACTTTGATGGAAACATCAAGTACGCTGAGTACACGACTTTTAAGGTGGCAAGTGAGGCAGATAAATACAGGCTTTTAATTGGAGGATACAGTGGCACGGCTGGTGACGCTATGACCAATAAACATAAGTAAGCAGAAATGGTTTTTTAGGACTGAACTGAAATTAGAGAAGGCTCCGTCATCTGTACAAGTATATTTTATAACGCAGCCTTTCTGTCAACCTGGGGCTGACCTCTTTACTGGTTTGCTGTGTTTTCTGATCGTTCGGGATAGAGTAGTCCTAAAAGGGTTTGTTGTCGGTAGTAATGGCTAACACAACGTGGGGGAAAGTCATCTTTAGAGTCAAATGAAGAGGTATTTCTCGTGTGTTAAAATTCTGGCTCATGCAACTGTTCGTTATTCTCAGATGTTATGGGAACTAGGCAAAACATCAGTCACCTTCTTCGACGAACGTTCTTCTCAACGTTACTCCTATTCAGACGATCAGACTTCACATTTAACTTTTGCGCATGAGCTCTGACCATTTACTGTTTAATTGTATTACTATTAAAATTGGAAAGCATAAGTTTAACTTCTACTCCTCTCTCTCTCGCTCTGGCCGAAAACGAGGTAAGACTGCCAGGAACAGGACCAAGAACTTTAATTTGGTTTCAGATTTACAAAGTCTGGGAACGTTTTCCTTCTACGTTCTTTGTGTTGATGGGGACCCTTACACGGGAAAACTAGAGCTTAAATTGCTGAAGACAGGATAATGAGGGCAGCACACCTTGCAAACTTTAATCTCACTTATAATTATTTTCCATGGTTTTCCATAATCTAATGCCAGTCTCCCCGCCTGCTTGCGTGTTTGTTTGTGTGTGCCTGCCTACCCATCTGCCTGCGTGTCTGTTTGTCTGTCCGTCCGTCTGATTGTCTTTCTGTCACCTGACTGTCTCTCCTTCTATACAATCACCTATCATTTTGCACATTTATTTCTTTGAGCATGTCTCCTTGCCTTCCTGTTCGTTCCACTTCTCTATTTAAACTGTTCCCAACGTGCCCCAGACGTTATATGGTTAGATAATTTACCTAAGACACACGCAACGAAATTAACCTCATTTGTAATTTTCTTTTCAGTAATATGCAATTTACTACGAAAGATCATGATAATGATAGACGTGGTAACAACTGCGCCCAAGTCTTCAAGGGTGCGTGGTGGTACGAGAACTGTCACACATCCAATCTGAACGGATTGTACCTCAATGGTGCACATGCTTCCTATGCTGATGGAGTCAACTGGTTTTATTTTAAAGGCCATTACTATTCACTAAAACGAACTGAGATGAAATTCAAAAGCAAAAAATAAACTTCCTTTCAACAAATTAACGATTACTCTGTGTAGTAGTAACACTTCGAGATTCGATTAAATGGTCATCTGCTGTCAACAACTAGTTCAATTTTCGGGAAAATTTCTGTCGGTGATCTGTGTTTTTCTTTCAAGGATCACGATAGTAAAGGATGAAAGTGGTGTGTAATTCATCAGGAGAGCCTCATGGTACAAATTATGCAAGTTGTTCAATCTGAGCGATTTGTTCCTCAAAGGACCACGTTCTTCATACTCATCCGAATGAGATGAAAGTTTAAACTTCAGCTAAAGGCTCTTTTTCAACTCTTTTCTAAAATTTTTGACATCTTGATAGTAATTGCTTGGCTCGCAAGGTTAACATTGCAAGTCAAACATCTCCTCAAGGGCTCAAATAAAGTTGACTAAAATTGATTGGAAATCTCATCTTACTTACCACGAAAACTTCTTCCCTTACCTTAGCTCTAGTTCTCTTTCTAGGTTTTTTTTCTCCTACAGATAAATGAAACTCTCTTGCTAAGGTAACGATGTACAACCAGGAATTTAGCTTTAATGGAAACTTCCAGCAATATCATTGAATTTAGTCACAAAGTTAAAATGATAAAAAACTTGCAATGGGGATCTTAGTATAAAAACAAAATAAAGGAACTCAAGGTCTCCATCGAATCCTCCACTATTAAACATGCCACCGAAGGACAACTTCAGCCGTCATGTAATAACTTCAGACCCATTTGCTGAACAAGGGGGATCGCAAATTCTGATGTACAGCATTATCTTTTTTAAAATAATTATAAAACTGTTAGCAAGGACATATGACATCTCCACATTCTTATTTACATTATTATGGTGTAAGTTGGCTCTAATAAACTTCAAAGGTGAACTCAGAACTTGAAACTTAAATCGGTTATGATCCATTGCTTGCTTTTCCAAGTGACCTATTCTATCTTCTGTACCTGATTGTCTAATAAGCAATATCATGATTACAATTATGATTGTTGTGTTGCTTCCTTATCACCTCGCATGTGAATAAAAAAGTTATGGATGTACCGAATCGCTAGAGGAGATCATCATTCTTCAAATTTTTAAATTTCAGACTAAAAGAAGAACCCCAGGAGAAACAATTTTCGATGAATTAATTATGTGCAGTCAGGATTTTAATTGAGTTGTTTTAACTTCTTCTGACATAGTCGTCCATAGAACATTTCTTTCTGACTCTTGATTTAAGAACCATCCTGGGCCTAAGAAGTTGTTTTGTCTGCTTTGTTGCGGTTCAAATAATTGCTGTTGTAAAATGTGCAATCTCCAAATGAGAGTAAACTTATCAATAAATGCAAACAACTAGTACCGCAATTGCGCTTATTTTGGAGTTCAGTTTAAATGCTCTCATTTCTGGCCAGAAAGATAAACAGTTGGGTATCACCGATCTGTAGCCGGATGTAACTTGGTAAAGAAACGTGAGAAAATTAGTTAGTAAAATAAACGAGAGTGAAAATATGAATTATGATTAAAGACTCGTGGTTACATGTTCACCTATGTTTTCATCACTCTGTGTCTCAATTAAGTACGTGACATGAAGTGTAAGAAAAATAAGCGCTCAAAAGCAAAATAGCCTCAGGGAAATATAGGAAACACAGAAAGCTTTGACAGAGTGCCAGCGGCCCGCGTTTATAGAACTGATGGGCCATTTAAACAGGCCTTAATTAGCTACTGGCTTAAAAGCATTCCACATTTTGTAAAGCACGCTCCTACATCAAAAATTTTTTTTTATTACTCTTTCACCTTCTTCATTGATTTTTCTGACAGTAAACAAATTCAAACTCCGGTTTTCCTCTGCGACTGAACATGAATCCATTCTAACTGCTTTTAATTTTGATGAAGAAAAAGTCATATTTTCTCAGAAATTATTAAAAACAATATATACAGCAAAAATGGCTTAAGAAAATTTAAAAGTTCTTTATCTGGCTGAGAATATAAGTAAACTAACTAATTATATGCTTCACTCAGGCTCTCTGCATAAGAAAAAAAATGAACCAACCCTCACTTCATGAGAGATAGTCGACTTAATTTCGATAATTTCCTTACACCTGCTTACCTAGGCAATAAAAAGAAAAAAAAATTAATTATTCTTCATCACAAACTTTCTCAAGGTGAAGAATAAACATACATCTCTGTTAAATATATTTTATTTGTGCCTTTGTGTGCGGCATAAGTCTTATTTCAGAGCCAGATCTAAGGGCTGTTATATCATGCAATTTGACAGAGTTTTGATACAAGTACAGTAACATAATGATAAAATAAATTAAAATAATTTAAAAAAAGGGTGGCTCTGAAAGAAAGCTAATGCTCTGTTGATTAAGGAGGCCCTCACAAAAGTTTATTTACAGAATTGTAAAATGACTTAACATTTGATGAAGACTACTATATACCCAAAAAAACCTGCAAAATGTTAAATTATATGGTGTATTCTTTTTTCATTCTGGAAATTTCCTTATACCTAATGGCTTGGTTAGGCAATAGTAATTAAAAGAAACATTCATTCCTTTTCATCATAAACTTTCTGACGGTGAAAATTAAAAATACATCTCTGTCTGCTATTTCTTCTTTGTGCTGTTATGTACGGTATAAGCCGTATTTCAGAGCCAGATCTGAGAGCTGTTAGATTTGCAAACAAGATAGAAGAACAAAAGCTGAACGGAAGCGTTATAAGAGAAATGGAAGTTGATTTGGAAATTTCTTGTCATTCGGAGAGTGCAGATGAACGGCGTAAATCTTACAACTTTAGAACCATTAAGGGCGACTCAGAGAAATTCATGCGTCAGCAAAGCGACTCTAATCGATTCGCTGGATTTGCTAACTTTACTGAGGATAATAATTTCATTTACAGAGGAATGATGGTAGGCTAAATCTGTCCTAGTGCATCAACAATGACTTGAGGCTCAATGTATGAGTCATTTTATATTTAAGGGTGGCGGAGATCTGCGATAAAGGGACACAACTTTAAAAAGAAAAACAGACAAATTTCATCGAAAAGTTTTAAACTTTCCTTTGCTTTCCTATCCAAAAGTAGCATGCGCGTTCTGTCGGACCTTGTAATTTATATCTAGCATATGGAAGACTTATTAATGGAAAGCCTTAGCGAAATTACTAACAACAACAGTGGAGGAAGACAGGGAGGCGGGAGCCCGGGAGAACAGGGGGCGGGAGAGGGCGGGAAGCGAGAGAACGAGGGGCAGGCAGCGGGATCTATATGGGGGCGGGAAGCGGGAGCAGAAATAAAAAAGGCGATAGTTTGTTTTTCATTACTAGGTATTATTCAGTCAAAAACACTTATCTAGCAAATTTTTAAAATTTCGTAAGAGCAAAATTATAATTAAGGCAAGAAAACCGACATACTTTGGAGCCGTGTGAGCTTTTAACATTTAAAACAAATATACAGAAAACCTAAAGTACTACGAAGTCGAGTAGGCTTGTCAGCCCCAATTTACACTCGATTATTAAAAAGGCGCTTTGAACTCTCTGAAGAAACATTCTGCGAGATGCTTTCAGACTGCCGAGGCGAATGTGATTTGAAAACAAATGAAATTGAAGACAATCAAGAAGTTGTCTTCACTTGGCGGAAGAAGAGGCTCTGACCAAAATTTGGAGTTGGAAGAGTTAAGTGTGGTCTTCCCGGCTCATGGAAGACCTCTTCTAAACTTTCCGCAGAGGTTTAAAGAAGATTTCAACCTATCGAACAAATCTCATAATCAGCCGAACAATAATGTTTAATCATGCTTCACTAGCACTTAAACTGAACGTTCAAAATGCAAACGGTTCAACAATCGATGTGCAGTGATTTAAATCATCCTTTGGTGTCAGCTTTTTTATTCGCTCACGACCAGCTACGACTAGTTACTTACATCAAAAAGGGAAAGCAAGCACGGATACAGGAGAAGCAAACTCTAAACGTTACGTCTGGCTCTTGATTTTTTTAATTTGATTTTGAAATGGCATTCCTAAATGCATGGAAAAACCTATATTACATTGAAATAGCTATTACATTACACAGTGGACTGAGACTTTTGTCTTTTTAACCAGATGTCAGAAGCGATGGTCAAACTGTGATAACCAGGTTAGTGAAACTTTAATTTGAACCAAGAAAACTCTTTTGTTAATTATCATTTTGCATTTTGTCGAAATAACTAGACGGCATAAATAAGACCTAATTAGCGAGACCAACATAAACAGATCCCGAGAAAAATAATTCAGTAAATGGTTAGCACTGACTTATTTTCTAAATTTTTGTTGAGGAAGTCGATGTTACTGGAGGCTACAAAACGTTTACGAGAACATTAGAGTCATAACCTTCGAGCACCACGCCCCAATTTTTAGCGTTGCAGAAAGCGCGTTTCTCCGAACGAAAAAATGAAAATAGTCCTAAAGTTTTTTTACCCTTTTCGCATCTAAATAATTGGCCAAAGAATTTGAAATGTCCTCCTACACATCATTTCTTGTCGTTTTATCATGTCCCAACAACCTGGATTTAAATCCGCCCAGAGATCTCTTCATAGCGCTTTCTTTTATTAATTATCATTTGCATTACTGGCTGTCGAAATAACTAAGCTGCATAAATAAGACCTTATTAGTGAGACCAACATAAACGGATCCCGAGTAAAATATGTTCAGTGAACGGTTAGCACCAACTTCTTTTCTAAATTTTTGTTGAGGAAGCCGATGCTACTGGAGGCGACGAAACGTTTGCGAGAACATGAGAGACATAGCCTGCGTGCAGCACGCCCCAATTATTAGCGCTGCAGAATGTGCATTTCTCCGCCCGCGGGAAGATTTGAGACGAGTCGGGAGAGCTTTGCCAGGGGTATGGAATCAATAGTTGGTGCAAGACCCTCTCGCCGACTCGCATTACTCAAGGGCTCACACTTTCCCGTGGGAAGAAACGCACGTGCTGATTGGAAGCTCCTATAATGAGGACCTAATCGCAGGCTGTTAGAGCCAAAACACTAAAATTAATTATATCAAAGTTGTCTCAGGTCCGTCTCTAAATTTGCCTGAAAACTTGGCTCTAAAATTCAAGCATATAATTGCAACTACAAAAACATCTTATTGGTAGCTTCCAAGGCCGGCTTTGGGAACACTTTTGATTTCACACAGTGACTCTACAATAACGAGTTTTGTTTACTTGATTGTTTTCATTTTCTATCCACTGAAATTTCTACAAGTTTAAGATTAATAATTAATACCGTGAAGTTGAAAACCGAAAAATTGCGATAAACATCAAACGCTGAAAGATGCCAAGGCGTGTAAGTGAGAGATTCTGAAGTATGTATCTGCTTAAATTGTTCCTAATGTCTTTGACCATTGCTTTTACATACGGAGACCCTCGAATGATGACAACTGTCTTCCAAGCCGTTAATTTTGCTAAAGAAATAAGAGGTTGACGTCTTAATGGAAGTGTTATTAGAGAAATAAAAGTGGATTCCGAGAGTTCTTGTCGACTACTTTGCGTGAAAGAAAGCTCATGTGTGTCATACAACTTTGGATCCACAATGAACAACAAGAACTTTAAATGTCAACTAAGAGACTCCGATCGCTTGATTCTATGAGAGATAAACATCTGCAGCATACAAAGAATGTTTTCAATTATTTACATTGTTGTAGAATTTCTTAATTTCATGGGAAACAGTCCATATGGATGCTTTATTGGCAAGTTTATTACGACAGGAGAATATTTTATCTTTGAGGCCATTTAAGTCTCATCATATAATCCATTTGGTATCGTGAGTATGACTTTAATTTTGCTATAGAAAGAGGTATCTTCTATGTGACAAATGCGCATGATTTTATAAAGAAAACGTTTCAACTGAAATGATTGTTGAATTCTTCTTCTTCCTTCACTACCCCACCTCTTTGTGTAAATATAGTACTTATAGGAGTCTTTAAAACATAAAAAAAATAAAGAAAGTTTTGTTCAATATTAAAAATAAAGAAAGTTGTGTTCAAATATTAAGCCATGTAAACTAGTTCTCTCTTGAATGACTCAAAGCCTGGCCTCTTAACTATATCTTCTAGTAAATAGTTCAGTCCCTGAAAATACGTGAGAATCATGAGTTCTTGTGGTAAATCTGTTTTAAAGGAAAATATTTAATAAACCCAACCTTTCAAATATCTCTATTCTATTTCAGATCTGTGCATGTGTTTACAAAAATTTTAAAATAAAAGAATCATTTATCAGTGAACTTGAAAGAAAATAAAGCAACAAACTAATGGGGCTCTTTCCTTACTCACGTAACTGTTTACAAGGAAACTTCGAGGTAATTCTATGAATCAGACACAACTTGACATAACATACTGATTTATTCAAGAAAAGGAGGAAACAGAGGTTCTACCTCAAAAAAGGAAAAATTAGGACTAAGATTATCTATGTACTATCTATTTACTATCTACTTATTTTTGTATGATAAAATAACCAGTAAAAATAGTTGACACACAAGGTTAAGGAGATGCTCAGGTCTCTTCTTCAACTTTTAAAACCTTTTGGCTTCAATCGTATTTCTCGGCAGACTGTTCCACTCGCGTACCTTGCGGACGGCGAAAAATTCTTGAAAGCGTCACACTTTGCTAACTTAACAGATGATTTAAAAGAATGGTTTCCTCGAGTAGATTTATACTTTGCAAGTTCGAAAAAAATAACTGAATTAATTTACGCCATACACTATCTACCAAGAGGGAGAGGATAAGTCCGTCTGCTCGTTCAGTTTTTTCGGGCGCTTTTTGTTTGTCATCATAACTGTTTCTGACAAGGAAGCTCTTCTTTCGACTTTTGCCGACAGAACCATGTCTTTGGATGACAACTCCAGACCAAGGCTGCACATTTCACCACAGAACGCACAAGATGATTATATATCGTCGAGAAAGCCTCGGGATTCGAAGAGACCAATTTTCTATGGATTAAACCTAATACTTTTTCTGGCTTTGATTCCTAGAGTATAAACGTGTTCGCTTCGTGACAGGTTCTAGGCAATCAACGACAACAATTAGCGTCAAAATTAGTTGACACATCATTTTGAAGAGTTCAGAATCTATCAATATGTAGAATCACACTCCTGTTTCTAACACACCCTAAACTATTGACAAGACCCCCATCCCCCATAAAAGGGCAAAAGAGATTAAATTGAAGTAATATGGGATTGGAGGATTCAATGCGTCAACATTATTATCGCCGATTGTAGGTCTCTAGTACTGTTGAAGGTTGCTTGAAATCGACATGTATGTTGGCAAGAACTTGTTCTGTCTCTGTGCACTATTCACCAGTACTTCTAACTTGTCGGGATTGAAGTGCAAATTCCATTTCTAAGTCCATGCTGCCAGCTCATCGATATCGAATTCCGGTCCCTATTTATTTCTTTCTACGTTTCCAGTTCCCTTTATACTATATCATCTTAGTGTCATCAGTGGACACCAACTTAATTGTGATGGAGATGTTTGATGAAATTAATTGACATGTATTAAGAACAGAATAAGAACAAGAATCTAGGGAACAACATGGACCTGGTCCAGGAAGAATAAGTGCCACCCACCACGACGCGATTTGGGCAGCCAGTTAAGAGATTTCTATACGAAGATAGTAGAGGTCTATCTATCCCATGGCATTTTAGCTTACGCAGCAATCGTTCTTGGGGTACGAAATCGAATGCTTTCAAAGGGTCTTAAAATGACATCCGTTAGTCTTGATTTGTGTCTGGGTGTCGCTCAGTCGTTAAAACACGAACTATATTTAGTTATCTTATTCAACGCATTCTCTGGTGTAAATGCACTGCAGGTGCCATCCATAACATGCCAAAAAAGTACACAGCGAAAATATTAAGTTTGCTTCGCTGATTAATCTTTACTCCAGAGAAAATGATGTCGATATGTAGGTACTTTTAAACAATTTGAGCCTCGTGCGCTAAAGTTGTTCTACTGATACTATTTTTCCCGCCTCATGGGACAGAGAAGTAATCCCCATTTTCTTTTAAGCCCACCGGTGGGCAGATTTCACAACAATTCAGTGATACTCGATCGTCCTCATCCGAGAAAACCAGAACGTCTAACCATTTGAGCATATCATAGCAAAGGTAACGCATTGCCCTCAGTTATTAAACCCTAAGAGTTAGTCTGCTCCAGGAACTTAATGTTGGCAGGTCTGGAAGCTTCTGATCTGATTCAATCTGAGAATATGAAACACGTGCAATTTTAAAAGTCTATCAATCAATCAATTCATAGGATACCTTTATTACAATAACAGTAATGAGGGACTTTTGTTTTAACAGAGCCATTGTGAGGTCAGCTCTTTCCTTTGTGCAAAGAACGATATCTGTGTTCCCAACCATAAAGACAACACTGCAGAATGCAAATGTCGTTATGCTTCTGGATATACTGGAGAACCATGCAGTGAGTATCATGTCTAACGCTTTCACTAGTTTCCAACTTTATATTGACTGAGTGCATGCGTGAAATCTTAGGTATCCCGATTTGGATCAAGTAAAATGACACAGTACAGCTTATCTACCCTGGTCAAATAACGAATTTGGGCTTTACTAATTATTTCTTTCTCTTACAAAATCAGAAGCAAAAAGCTGCGCCCAACTACTTAAAGATGGTTTCACCTCTGAAGGCGTGTACACCATCAATCCAGATGGCGGTAAGCCAATACCAGTGTTGTGTGACATGACCACGAACGGTGAAGGTTGGACCGTTTTCCAGAGACGTTTGGACGGCTCTGTTGACTTCTATCGTGACTGGAAAGCTTCCAAAGAGGGGCTCGGAAGTTTGAGCGGCGAGTTCTGGCTCGGAAACGACAATCTTCATCGTTTGACAGATGCTAATTACGTCATGTTGAGAGTTGACTTGGAGGACTTTGAGGAGAACATCACATACGCTGAGTACAAGACATTTAAGGTGGCAGACGAGGCTGATAAGTACAGAATCACTCTCGGAGAATACAGTGGCACATCGGGAGATTCCTTTACACCTCAAAGGTATTATAAATAGTCAAGAAATACATTGGTGTTGAATGTATTGCGTTCTCTCTCTTTGTTTTGGGCCGAATTGATGATCAACCAAAAAGGTTTTAAGAAAAGTCTCATGCACGCACAACTCTAGTCTTCTCTCTTGATATTCTTTAAGAGTGAAGTTACCTCTGAAACTGTAAGGTCATTGGAATAGTGGAGGTCATTGGGCAGAATGTCTATTGTTCTCGCGACATTTACTTGCAGTAGCGAAAATATTATATATCTGTGATATTAGGGGCGAAGTGTAAACAGGGAGGCTCTCAGTGGTCGAAGATCACGCGTGCTTTCCTCTGTGACAAGAAAACAAGAATAAATCAGGTGAATGAAAACCGCTCGTCAAAACCGTGGAGATTAAGAATGCTGATTTGAAAGATACATTTTTGTTCTATAGTTTTGCGGCTTTCCGAACTGCCCACATGCAGGGAAAGGCTGCAAACTGCCATATGCTCCTTAGGATGATTAGGGAGATTAAAGTGTCTAGCGACTGGTTTAGATGCGTCCTTGTCATTTCTTTCTACGTCACGAAGGTGTTCTCGCAATCAGTCACCTGATCGTCTTCTTGTTTCACCAATGTATAAATTTTTGCAATAAGTACAAGGTAAGTAGTAAATGACATTGGCGGAGGTGCACTTAAAGTGATTAGTGATCTTAATGGATCTCTAGGTCCCGACATTTTCTCTATGTTATGAATGAAACGACAAGTTTTTCATTGTGAGCGAGCGCATTTGAAAGTTTCAGGTTTCTTTGGTTTGAAATTAAATTCTGACCAAACAATTGCCTACATTTGAATGAAGGTACCGGAGGTTGCGAAAAGAAAGTACCAGTCTCTGAATAGTTTTGGAGTTATTGAAAGTTTTGTGGTTGTGAAGACGAAATGTGAGAGTGAATGAAATGCGATCAGTGTTTTCCATCTCAGCCGTTTGTAATGCTCACTGTCCATCAATTTGTTGGGCACGGTATGGAATTCTTGACGTGTGGTGGATGCGAAGATGAATACAACAAGTACCATATCTTTATAGTAAACAATAATGCATAGAACGTTAGAACGTTGCCTTCAATTGAAGTTTTGATGTCTAGAATAGCCAAAGAAGTGTCGGAAATTTCCCAGGTATATTTAAGAGCCGAGTGAAAGGAATTTACGGCGATTATAAATTGAGTGAGCTCCTCTCTGGTAGAGGAGGTAATACCGATGCAGTTGTCAATGTATCGACCGTAAAGTTCAGGATTAAGGCCGTGGTATTGCCTGGACTAAAAAAATGGTGTTTGATAAAACCCAAGAGAAGATTTTCGTAGCTGATTCCCATAGTAGTATCTATGGCTACACCTTTAGCTTGTTTGTACTTGTTGCCACCTTCTGAAAAGCAATTGAGTGTAAGGACTAGTTCGGCTAGACGGAGTAGTGTTTCAGAACTAGGTTCCTTAACAATGCGTTTATCGAAAAAATGTTTGGGGGCCCGCGTCGTTGGGAATGAGAGTAATATCCATGTAATATCCATACGAAAATAAGTTTGTTTTGGCCAGGGAAATAAAAGTCACGAAAACTTTAAAGTGCGTGTTTGCTGTCCTTTATGTAAGATAGTAAAGTTTTGACCATCGGTGCCATATTTTTGTCTAAATGGCTGGAGATACGTTCGGTGGGACAACTGCAGGTAGAAACAATTAGTCGACCTGAGAGGTTAGGTTTGTGGGTTTTAAGTAAAAAGTAAATTAACGAAGTTCTAGGAGTCTTGATGATGATATTTTTTGCAGTGGCGAGCAATTCTTGTTTAGCTACAAGATCGCTAATCATGTTTTTGACAATGTTTTGATGGATGAAAATGAGATCTTTGTCACCTTTGGCATAAAAAGAGGTGTCAGAAAGGAGATGAACTTTGTTCGTTTGTCTCACGATAGAGTCACTTTTGATGCTGATCGCGACGTTTCAACTGCAATGTTCAATGTTCACTACTGCCTAAGTGGTGCACATTACTGCGAAGATCACTTTCATTCACGTCTTTATCCGCAGTTCAAATATATGACTTTCATATATTCTTAACCATTTAATGTTGCTAGTCTTTATCAGGCGATGAGGTCGACTGTTCACTTGTTGTAGCACGTTGGTACGCTGCTATTGGTGCATTTCGGTCCTCACTGTTATTCTTGTTGTTAAATGGTGTTCCCTCATAGGTCCTCATAATCGGCTGTTGTGTTGTTTGATTGTGGGTGTCCAAGCTTCGGGTTTTTCGATTCCGCTATCCCTATTGACGCTGTTTGAATGAAGTCCTATATGGATAGCCTCTTTGCCCTATGTATGTACCGGTAAGGTCACGATCAATAAACTTAACCCTTAACCTTTAAACTTTTTAATGCCGACCTCTCTTCCGAAGAAGGTAGAAAATTTGTTGTTACGATTGAATTTTAGTTTGTTAATATTGTGAAGATTCTAAAGATGCAAATTGCTCCTCTGGGGGAGTCCATTTAGACTTTCGAGTGCCCTCTTTGTCGTAAAAAAAATGACTTTCAATTGAACGCGGCGAAGGAATTTTTTAACGTCTTGCTTGACTGAAAATTGATTGGTTTGTTCGGAAATGGGAACAAAATTTAAGCCCTTACTAAAAACTGATTTTCCTGAATCGGAAAGTGGTAAATTTTCTGGAATCTAGTTACAGTTTTGAGGCTTTGTGGTGATGAGTCGCTAGTATTTTGAGGACCGATAAGTTGGTCGAGTTTTTGGGCTTTAATTTGGTGCAAGTGGTTAAAAGGTTTAGAACTGGCATCCTGAGTTTTGGCACAAATAGATTGTAATAAAACAGCTGGACACATTTTGGAAAGTTCAGAACGGAAATTTGGAATTTATTCGTTGAGTTCGTTACGTTTTTGGCACATGGCTCTGGTTGTGATTCTGATCATATCACCTGGCGAGTAAAAAAGTTCTGGGTGCGCTGAAAATAGTATTGATTAGAACGAGAAAAAGAAATGCATGAAAATTGGAGCGAAAACCCTTAAGAATAACTTTGGAATGAAGGCAACGGCCAATGAAATGGATATGGCTACAATAAGAATGGCTAAACCAAATGTTGGATCTTTACTAATAGGGGAGAAAGGGGAAAGATAACTTACGATTTCGTGGCGTAGTTGTCCTACCCAACTTATTTCCAGCTATTTAGACAAAATTATGTCACCTATGGTCAAAACTTTACCATCCTACATTAAGGACAGCCAACGCGCACTTGAAATTTTTCGTGACCTTAATTTCCCTGGCCAAAACAAACTTATTTTCATTAAGGATATAATTATATTCTATCTCATTGCGTCCTATCATAAACTACTGTATTCTGCTCTATCCCATTCTATTCTACTCTACGATACTGTATTATAAATCTACCTCTTTATCTCTGTCTCTCTCGCGTCTCTTAATTATTTCTTTAAAGCAATTTGTCAAAGTAGTTCCCTTAAGCAGAATTTGTTTTGCAAGTTTTTAAGAGAAAATCTCTTTCCTCGATAGCTAAACAGAAATGAAAGAAGTCAACATAAGTTTTATTCTTATTCCAGCCATATGCAGTTTTCCACGAAAGATCAAGATAATGATCTAAAGGATATAAGCTGTGCCCAACACTACAAAGGGGCCTGGTGGTACAACGGCTGCCATTGGTCCAATCTAAACGGATTGTATTTAAATGGCCAACATGCCTCTCATGCTGATGGAGTCAACTGGGCCATGTTAAGAGGCCATCGCTACTCACTAAAACGCACCGAGATGAAAGTAAAAACCAAGGGATAAGATGATTTCTATCGTGGGGTGACAAAACATGATTCTAAGTATGACAACATCAAAGAAACTTTTTTCACAGCTTCAATAGGATCAATCTAGACCGACTTATAACTATGGCAAAGCATATCGTTAGAAGCAGCCATAATATGCTCACTTCTTGTCAAACAACTTCGAATTACAATACAAAACTCAAACTTCCTCACTTTTAATGACGGGAAAGATATGATATAACAAGTAAAACAAAGACAGTGCAATCATCTGCGTTATTAAAACCAAATATCCTTTTAAAATGTTCTCGTCTCCAATTGAAAGATGACGATTCTTAGGAATATTATTCTGAAAAGAATTGGAAAGAGAATAGAAAAAACGGAACGAAACAGTCCATGTAAAGTTTCTTATATTTCGTCGATCTCATAAGTTCAAGCTCGATTTGTCTTTTTCATTTTTGATAGGAAGTTTCAACTTGATTTTATGAGAGATAAACATCTTCAGTAGAATTTCTTCAATCCATAAGAAACATTCCCTTTAGTTTTTTTTTCATCAGCAAGTTTATTATGAGAAGATTGTTTTTCTGTGAGGCCACTAAAGTTGATCGTATAATTCATTTGCTATCGTAAATATGGCTTCAATTTTTCTAAAGAAATATCTATCTTTAACGACGCATTTCAAGTGACAGAAATACCATTTCTCATCTTCTCTCTTGATATTCTTTAAAAGTGAATTTGCCTCTGAAACTGAAGTCATAGGAATCATGGAGTTAGTTTTTAGGAAAATGTCGTTTATATAAACCAGCACAATCATTTGCCAGTGGTGTGACAAAGCTATGTCCTTTATAGTTTTGAAGGTGTTAGCTTTCATCAGTTAAGAAACAGTACTAGTTTATGAAAAGAGTGAAAATCAGGCAACACAATCTGAATTCAGCATTTGAATCAAAAGTAAATCTGAGGGGGATTACTAAAAGGATACCAAACAGCTCATTAAAGACAAAATTTCCACATCAGGGCCGGGTCGTTAAAAACCCGAAGAAGCAGGCCAAGGATCAGAGTGGATTTTTATTTTGTCTTAACAGCTCTGCAGGTTTTCTTGGGCTTGTTCTATTTTGCGAAACGAAACGAAACGAAACAAATATTGTAGTAATTTTTTTTTATAAAAGGTAAAGATAGCTTTCACGAGGATCGTGGTGTAATCTTCATTTCATAAGAAGGATTTTTACTCATTTTGCAAAGTAGTAATTTCAAAACAGTTACTATTTTGCGGAATCGACTATTTTCACCCTGCGGTGACAACGTGGCCTCTTATTCATGTCCCAAAAATACATTTAAACATAACAAATTAGTATATCACCGAAGATTTTGGCCTCCTCTTACTTCTTAAACCGTTTTAAAATATAATTTGCCAAATAGTAATTTTAGGTGAGATACTATTTTGCGAAATGGACTACTAGTCGATTTCGCAAAATAATAACTCTTCTTAAATTACTACATTGCCAATGGAATAAAAACCCTTCTTTTGAATTACCGATTACTCAAAAATCCTCGTGAAAGTTATCTTTACCTAACTGCAAAATACATCTGCATTACTCCTCTAGTTTTGTTATATCTCGCTTGGTTTCGTCTCGTTTCGTTTAGTTTCGCAAAATAGTATTAGCCGTAGTTCTTGATCATATTTCATCATGTTCAATTTTGCCTGGCATGATGAGAACAACCCCACATAACTTCGAGATAACGAATGGATGGTTTCACAAGAGAAAATGCAACACCAATTTGAATTTGTAATCCTGAATTAGCGTAAATGGCCTCTCACGTACAACTTGAAGTGTCGAAAGGCTGGAGTATAGGGCATCTAGAGTTACTCAGCTCGCACTAAGAATAAAGTAACATTTGATAGATTATATAGCCACAGAATTTGAGAATATCACCCTCTACTTTTAGCTATTGTCAACAACTTTTACATATATCTGCAAATATAAAGTTTTACGAGGGATGTAGTTTAGAAAAGGTAAGAGCCAGATGTATAAAGCAAACTGCTTGAAGAGCAAGAAAACACGAGTAAGAAATCGAGACCAATCACATAGCGACGTGAGGCAAAACGTAAGCAACTAAAGATCACTTTCGGTACTCGGTTGAAAATTTAGCGGATTGTCTTGGTCGATCTAGTTTATTGAGTAGCTTACAAGATCACGCCAGCACGGGCTCTGTTTTATTTAATGAAGATTTAAAGGAGGTTTAAAAGGTTTCTGTTTGGAAATACCATTGCATTTGACGTTAGAAATATTCGATCAAACACAATACAATAATTCTTATTTAAATTTCACTCAACAAGACCGAGATATCGGTCGATTAAGCGAATGGAAACCTCTTATCTTTTTTTGTAAAGGTTCGATCGCTTATTTTTTGTAATCAATGGTAATTAACAAATAAATTATTCTGTCATTAAGACCCTTTTATATCTAAGATACTCGCTAGCTACTGTAATGTGAATTTCATTTTGTATTGCTGTATTCTTGCTAGATCAGGTTATATACTAGTTTTACTACTCCTCGACTAGTTTTAGTTAACTGCGAGCAGTGGAACTTGTAATTAACTAGTCAACTTGCAACTTGAGACAGTCAACCTATGAGACTAAATAATTCTAAGACTCAATAAGATGGAGAAACCTCCATAATTAGCAATTGTTCAATTCTTATTATTTTGTGGCTTGTATCACCATCAAACTTTACAGAATTTTTGGCCGTCATATCAATGGTAGCGGTAGTTATTAAAAGACTGACTTATGTAAAACTTGATTGCAATAAATGACGTGAAATGAAGTTCGGACTGTCATTTTCGTGTCATTTACTCTTAATTGTACCATCTACTCACCTCTGATTCAAGTGAATCGAATTATGATGTAATGTCTGAGACATTTCATTGTTCATAACCGGTGTGGGTCGTTTTCAAAGTCTTCCCACCTCTTATGGAGACCTATCTTAAGACGTCATTTTGATGTGCCAAAGGTTTTATCTGGGGTTCCTGTTTGTTCGGTTTCCCGCTCTTTAGATCACATGACACTCGTGACTCTATGTGCATCGACTGTGTCACTTTTAACCGTTAGAGCCTTTATTTATTTGAATTATACTAAATTCTGTTCAAAAAACCTATACTTTCTCATGTTGTGCCTTTCTAGCCTTTGTTTGTATGTTGTCGACTCACCTTTAATACTTGTCTACTTCTCTTCTGATATTCCTATCATCACCTCCAAAATTAACTATTAACCGGGCGAAACGTTTTGTAAAAGACTGCTATTTGAATAAAGTTTTTGTTTAAAATTTATTAACTTCACCTGCGCGCGTGTGCGTGTGTGTGGTCTCACAAAGTTCCAATATTCCCTTTAGGTATTTTTTTATATATTACCACGAAATTCGTTCTTACGATTTGAATTCATTCCCCCAAAATATCAAAACACAATATTTTGATTCCTCGACAGTTCATTGTACCAAAGGATATAAGATAAAATGTTGTTTATAAGCTTTCGCTATGCGACCTTTCGGGCGACTTTAAAGTTACAGTTCTGATTTTGGTAAATTGTTTCGTTGCCCTTATCGTATTTCAACAGAGGCATCTTACGAAATTCTTTAAAACTAAAATATTGATTGAAAATCATCCTTAAACAGCTAATAATATAGTTGTTCAAAAACATGAATAAATTTTTAAAAATGTTATTGTTTGATTTAAATATTGCCCTATCATGCCGGTTAAAGCATTAAATCAATCAACATGATGTCTTTCTACTTTCACTGAGGTTCTGTGTTAATAATTAATGAAAAAGAGCTAAAAACCCTCAAGATCACTATAATTGGCAACATTTCTTGCGAAAACATGTACGCAACACTCCTCACTTCCTTGGTAATTACTTTAGCAAACGGAGAAAGTAGATTGACAACATCCAACTACAAAGCTATTAACTTTGCCAGAGAAATAAGAGGACGACGGCTTCACGGAAGGGTTATCAAGGAAATTGAAGTGGATTCTGAGAGTTCTTGTCGACTGCTTTGCGTGGAGGAAAGTTCATGCCTGTCATACAACTTTGGACCCGGTGAAAACAAGAAGATGTTTAAATGTCAACTAAGCGACTCTGATCGCTTTGCTAGCTTCAACAATTTCACCGCAGACAACACATTTCTCTACCGAGGAGTGAAGGTAAGAAACTTTAGAAATAATTTTTCCAGAATGCAGCGGGCAAGTATTATATTGCCTATATGATAAATTTTGTGTAAGTGTATGCTGACAATAAATGTCAACTAAGCGACTCTGGTCGGTTTACTGGACTGAGCAATTCCACTGAAGACCCCCAAGTTCTTTATAGAGGCATAAAGGTAGGTAATTTACCTCAATTTTCGACTCTTTTACTTAATTCCAAGTGGTATTATGTATGATTGAAGGAACGATGCAGATGTTTATATATTGTATTTGGTACTGGTAAAAAAATACAATTTTAGAATTACTGTAGAACTTTTCTTATCATCCTCTGATTTTGAAAGTGTAAGATTTAAACTTTAACTTTGCATTGGGCCTGCAAACTTGACGGCTCAGAAACGAGATGTAATCCAGTGTTTTCGATTTGAAAAAGAATGTGTTCATTCGTTATTGGCTAAGAACAGGAAACGTTACTCTACGCCTTTGAGGGACATTTTAAAGTAATAATGAGTACTGATGACTAATGTATTTTATGTTCCTAATCTAATGTTTTCAAAAAATGCTGTCAATGAAAAACTATATTTAAATTGAAATGCTTGCTTCTCTTGTTGTGGATAATAGCTGTAAGATAAATTTCTAGAAGTCTTCGTCATGTTGACACGCATACCATGGAACTTTTTCAGAACAATTCGGTTACACTTGATCGCCCTTAATCATCCGAGAATACTAGAACGTCTAATCATTCGGAAATTTCGAATGAAGCAAAGGCAGTACATTTCCCTCAGTTATTTAAAAACCCTGAGAGTTATTCCGGCCAGTTAACTTAGTGTTGGT